AAGATTTAAATGCAAAAGGAAAGGCAGTAGAGCTGACTATTTCTGTCAATGGTAAGTTTGTGATAACGTAAGAAGAGTAGTTTAAATGTTTTGCCACTTGCTTGATCAACTTAATATATAAATCTAGAAGTAAATGCAAAATTAAAATGCATTGAATAATGTGTTGCTTATATTTATTTTGTTTAAACATGTCTGTGAAAGATTGTATTACTGTACTGTTGAATAAATGTCTAAAAATTCTGATTGGAGTATCACTATAAATAGATAAATAAATATAAATGATAAATAGAAGGCCTTAAAAAGATCGGTATTGGTGATCGGTATCGGCAGATACTGCTGTCTGTGATCGGTGATCGGCCTCAAAAATCCTGATCGGAGCACCCCTAGTACACAACCACCCTATAATGATAAAAATCCACCCGGCGGTTTTTTTTTAATCTCGTTAAATGTTTTCCCCTTTCTCAAATCAAGTTGATCTCAGATGCCTGTCTGTGTGATGTCACACAGACAGGCCCCTCCCATGATAGTTTGATTGACAGTAGCGTTTCAGTACAGACTGGACTGGCGTCTTATGTCAGACCCACCCTGAGTGAGCTGTCATCAGTCCGCCATTGTTTCACCGCTGGAGCAGATGTAGACAAGAATGACTCCTAAGCGATTGAGGTGTTCTGTTGTTGGATGTAATAATGAACATAGCAGTCGTCATTTACTCCTGACATCTGAGCCGCTGAACTCGCAGTGGATTTTGTTTGTTTCTGAAGGGAATGCTACCTTAGGGAATCTGCCTAAATGCGTCTATGTTCGCGCGAATCATTCATGATCCAGCCTCATCTACAGAAGAAGTGAGTATAATGTTTTGTAATGAATCTTTGCAAATCGCCTTTCCTAATAATGTGCTAATTAGCAAGTTTCACGATGAATGCGGCTAAAGTAAACAGTCTCTCTGAGAGCAGCTCGGAAGAGAGGGGCGGGGGCAGCAGAGCTCATTAACATTTAAAGGGAAATGCTACAAAAATGGCTTGATCTGAAAAGAGCTGTTTTTGACAGGGTAAAAAAAGGAATTTTTACACTACCATTGAGAAATTTTAACCAAACTATGTTACAGACTTTTCATTAAGACCCTAAAGAAATGGGCATCATAAGACCCCTTTAAGACAGGTACCTGCTGCCACCCTCTAGTGAATTTTGTTTCATATTTAAGTATAATTTCATATATTATACTGCAATTGTATGTGCAGTGTAAATGTTTTTATACCGCCGCTTTCTGTGCCACCTCTGCAGTGCAAAGATGTCTAACAGCCATGTAGAGTCTTAGTATTCTAATTAAATTTGTTTTAAATAAAAGAATGTCACAAAAAATGCAAACATCTAATAAGGTGAGAAACAATAGCCTATTAAAAGGTAAAATTGCTCCAGGAAAAAAAAAAATATTTATAGGGGTGCAGATCCTTTAATGCAAAGTTAAATTACATTAATTTGTCACTGCTATAAAACTAACCATTGCACACAATTCGCAAAACTTCGGGAATCATCTGCCCATGACAGGCATAAAACAGTTAGGTTCTAGCACAAAAACAAAATATTGTCTAATTACCAGTTTTATCAAAATCCCAGAAAATATTAAGAGATCACTGTTTTCATTTTTGCACACCCCTACTCTGAAATTTGTAGGTTTTATAGGCCACACAGACTGTTTCACTTCACTGTTGTTACATCATTCAGGGCATGTACACACTCTAAACATTCAGGAGTGACAACCGCATTTAAATACGGGAGTGAATCTCCCAAATTATAATTTTTTGTGTGTACTGAACAGAACTCACTCTCAAAATAGCCATCATTGACACCATGGTAACCACAGCAACGTTCTGCCATATTGCAAGTTTAGTATCCACTATTTTTGACCAAAAAATAAATAAAAATTCACCAACCAAACCACTGTCAACAGTCGAAGTTTGGCAATGTAAGGCTTCTTATTTGGCATTGGCTTAAAAAGTGATCCAGTGTATGGAGTTAAAAAAGTAGGTAGGTGCAGGTCACAATATTTTGTGGCTTATTTTCAAGATAAAGCATTTGGATATAAGTTTGTTCTTGTTCTTTTTTTTTTTGCAGGGTTTTTTTTTTTGTCTCTAGCAAGATCTGACAAAACGGATTTAAGACATACCTTGATTTCATGATTTCTTGCACCACACAAACAAAAGAGAGACACTACTCTGATAGGTCATTAACAACTGGTTGTTCAGTTCCGTTCTGTGCACACTGCATAGAATTTTTGTATATGCTGGTGTGACTACCTGAATTTTTTGGAAGTTAATCCGGTTGTAGAATGCAGTTGTCACTCCTGTAAATTACCAAAAAACAATATTGACTGCAGTACAGGATTTGCCTAATGTTATCTCCTATTTTTTACTTCGTTGAAAACAGAGACTGAACTTTCGGTGGCAGATCATCAACCAACGGACCAGTCTGTGGTAAGACATTTTAGTGTTGGATAATACTATCAATATTTGTATGCATATTGTGTTGTGTACAGTTCTGAAAATTTATACACTTTTCAAGTTGACAAACTTTTCACATTTATTGTGTAACACCCCTGGCTCGCTGTAACTCTTAATTTTAATGATAGACTGCAAGCCTGGACATATCTTTAGAAAATGTATATATTGATGATAAAACTAAGATATTCTAATTTGACTAGGAATTAGCTTTCTTGTCGGTGAAGATGTAACATTTTGCTTTTGGAAGATGTTATAAACTACAGCAGTGCTAGTGCATTAAATCATTAACAACTTAACTCATTAACATTGACAAATTATCTATCAAAATACCATTTAAAGGGGTGGTTGATTGTGATTTCACTTTTTTAACATAAGTTGGTGTGTAATGTTGCTGTTTGAGCATAAACAATTTCTGCAAAGTTATGACACTGAAACTTCAATGCAAATGTAGATATTGTCTTAAAATTATGGCAGTTTAATGCCTACAAAAACGGCTCATAGGGACTACAATTAGCTACTTCCCGGGTTGGTGACATCACAAACCCAGAAATGTACATAAACCCCACCCCCGGGAACATGCAACAAAGGGGGCAAGGCCATGTGCTCGAAAAAATCTATTCTTATATGAATTGTGATTCTGTCTTCTAACGATACTAATGGATTCACAAGTTTCAAAATCAATGTTGTAAAGCAGCGGTTCTTAATCCTGATTATAGAAGCTGAAATTAGAAGCTAACATAAGCAGTGGCATTTACAAATAACAGCGTATCTAAAAGTATGAGACAACAACAAACAAAGAAACAGCATTCTGAAATGTCCTGTAAGAGGCGTGCTTGCACAGGTTTTGCACGATCCTCTTCACTAATATTCTCTGTGGCTCAAATTGATGAGCAATATTGATGACACCATTGTTTAAAATAAAACACCGGAGCACATGCCACTGAGGTGAGGGGCGTGACGTTTCTGCATGCGCACTAGGGGTGGGAGAAAAAAATCGATGCATCGCGATTCTCTCTCCAACGATTCTGGATTGATTCTGAGCGTAGTTTTTAACCAGATGCACGATGATGCTGAGTTTGCTTTAGAAACACCCGTATTCTGCTTGCTTCCAATTCCTCACACACATACACCACTCGAACCTTCGTAAAGTAATCTTTCATAAAGTTCAGAAAGGTTGAAGTGAATTACAAGGACATTCACAGGCTTCATTGCACAGGATGCTCTGTGAGAGACGCGCGCTTTGATGTTACACTTGAAGTGTGCTGTCTTGCCCGTCTGTATTTTCCTTACAAATGTTCTACAAAGTCATCATTTATAGTGGTGTAAAAAAGTGTTGGCCCCCTTCCTGATTTCTTATTTTTTTGCATGTTTGTCACACTTTAATGTTTCAGATCATCAAACAAATTTAAATATTAGTCAAAGATAACACAAGAAAACACAACATGCAGTTTTTAAATGAAGGTTTTTATTATTAAGGGAAAACAAAATCCAAAACTACGTGGCCCTGTGTGAAGAAGTGTTTGCCCCCCTGTTAAAACTGTGGTTTATCACACCTGAGTTCAATTTCTCTAGCCACACCCAGGCCTGATTACTGCCACACCTGTTCGCAATCAAGATCTGGAATCGGATCGTGACTCCCAGAATCGGAATTTAGATCGGATTGTGAGGTGACTAAAGATTCCCACCCCTAATGCGCACTAGGCGTTTTAACGAATCACAACCAAGCGGCAACCTTCCGGTCTCTCTCATGAAACCAACACGGAAGTGACTAAAACTGCAATTCATCGACTGGCCGCTAGGCTACAAAAGGGAGTCAGTCCCATAGTAGTGTCGCGTAGCCAGACCTTCAGACTGACGGCTGAAGGTCTGGAATTCATGGCAGCATTCATTGGCCATCAGGCCATTTTATTCTGCTGTCACCACCGTCGAGCTAGGTGGGTGTGGTTTCAGCAACCAGCTTCCGCCTCTTTGCCCATTTTCGATGATCCGGGAGTGACGTGCTTCCAAGATGGCGACGGCCGGCTCCGCCTACTTTAGGCTTCAAAAATGTTCTTTGGAAACCTACGGGTGACGCCACGGACACTAAGTCCATGTTTTTATACAGTCTTTGATCACAACACACTGGGCCAGCTAACCAATCTGAGCCCATTGCGTATTTCTGAGGGAGGGGCTTCATAAAACCAGGAAATCATCAGAGCGTTTATCGGAGAAGGGACAGAGCGGTGTAGAATAAAGAATAAATCCATGAATGTGTTTACAGATTAATCTTATAAAGAGCACTTGACATCACAGTAGGCGATTACACCTACTGATAGGCAGCATTACTTTTAACCTTGAATGCTATGAAAACGCATCTAAAACATGAAAGAGCTGTTGTGTGATTTACTGTACAAATATGTGAAACACGAAATCTGAGCTATCTTTTTACAGATTGAAGCTATATAGAAAGAATATAGAAGCAAGTCAAGTCACCTTTATTTATATATAAATATAAATAACTTTATACACTTTATACACTGCTCAAAAAAATGAAAGGAACACTTTGAAAACACATCAGGGCCCGTATTCACAAAACATTTTATCTTACCACTAAGAGTTCTCCTAAATAGCAGTAAAAGTTTTTAGCTAAGAGTTTTCTCTTAAAACCAAGTTGCTGAGACAAACTTTTACTAAGGAATAGAGAGAAGTCTTAAGCTAAGAGTAAGGGCGGGTTGACCTCGTTGCTATGGATGATGTGAGCATGCTTACTAACGATGCACACAGTGATTGGCTGAGAGATTTATTCATAGAAATATTGTAGAGTGCGATATTATGTTGCCATATTCAAATAAAGGTTTAAAAAAAAATGTTGCCACGTTCAAATAAAGGTTTTAAAATGCAGGCTAAGTGTCACTAATTAAACAAGTATATGTTCAGCTAATTGTCAGCCTCTTACATGTATACTTCTCGTAAACAATTAGTGAATATGTATATAAACAGCCTTTTAATTAACAGAGTAGAATCATCATGGCTGATAGTAAGACATGCAAACATAAAAGAAAACCAAACTGGACGCAAGAACAGCTGTTACATCTTCCCAACTGATTAATGAAAACAAGGATATAATCAAAGGAAAATTTGGAGTTGGGATAACCACCAAAACAAAAGGCGATACCTTTTTAAAAGCTCTTTATCGTCAAATGTTTCTCAAATGTTTACGTTCCGAGGCAGATTGCAGGCAACAGCCATTTTTGGATAGTTTTAAAAGCTCATTATCGTCAAATGTTTCTAAAAATGTTTACGTTCCGAGGCAGATTGCCGGCAACAGCCATTGTAGGATAGTTTGTGATTAGTTTTAGTGACTTAGGAGTCCTCTTCACTACTCCTAACGTTTCACAGATTTAGGAGCCAGTTTTAGTGTTAAAACACTGTCAAATACTCTTAGAGCAAAAATTTAGGAGTTCTAAAGTAAGGACTGATGCCCATTATTTTTAAAGGGGGTAAAGGGGTCATATGATATTGCTAAAAAGAACATTATGTTGTGTATTTGGTGTAATGCAATGTGTTTATGCGGTTTAACGGTCAAAATACACATTATTTTCCACATAATATACATTATTGTTGCTCCTCTATGCCCCGCCTTTCTGAAACGCGTCGATTTCTGAAAAGCGAGGTGTACGCTGATTGGCCAGCTATCCAGTGCGTTGTGATTGGCTGAATACCTCAAGCGTGTGACGGAAATGTTACCATACCCTTACCATACTGTGATGCCCTGTGTCCCGGCGCGACAAGACAAAAACAGTAAAACCCATTACAAACGAGGCATTTGCCTTGCAAAGTTGGAACTGCCCCACTTTATAGAAACAGACTGTTTCATTGTAGGCTACTCTCACAGGAAACAGTCCTCATCCTCCGCAAAATGCGCTGCACACATCTGAATATTTGGGTTGAACTGTTCTGGAACAGTGTTGTAAATGCAACTTAACCACTGATTTCTAGTTGTGTCCTCTTTTGGAAGGCCAAACAAAGTAGTTTCGCTTTCACAACGAAACACACAGCGTCACACACCGTGGACTAGAGTGAGCGGTGGCCGGCAGCCTAGAGTGAGGAACGGCTGGCGGGTTAGAGCGAGTGCCTTCGCGAAGTTCTTCACGGATTCGACGAAGGAGCGGCTGGTGGGCTTGTGGCAACCACATGTGACGACCCCGAGCTGGACTCCGCTTTGTCCATGGTGAAAGCCGATCCAGCGATTCACAGCACGAAGTTGATGTATTTCCTCAGCGACCAGCACGAATCAGCTCTAGGCATGACGAAGCGGATATCGTCCTCTTTTGGAAGGCCAAACAAAGTAGTTTCGCTTTCAAAAGGAAACACAGCGCCTTCACGACATGGCGGCAGCAACAATACTACAGCGAGAAT